AGGTTGCACCTCAACAATACTGAGCGTCACGGCTCCTTTAAGCTCTTTACAGGACAGAGCACCTGCCCAATCGGCTCACTTCAGAGCCCACGTGTCAGAAAGTGAAGCCTGAGCCGCCTGTACACACGCACAGGCTCACCACCTGCACGTGCTCTTTGCGTGGATAATACACTTGGGGACTCTTTTTAAAAAATATTTTTATTGACCTCAGAGAGAGAGGGAGAGGGAGAGGGAGAGAGAGGGAGAGGGAGGGGGGGGGAGAGAGAGAGACATCAATGATGAGAGGGAATCATGGACCGGCCGCCTCCTGCACGCCCCACCCTGGGGATCGAGCCCACAACCCGGGCCTGTGCCCTGATGGGAATCGAACTGTGACCTCCTGGTTCCTAGGCCGATGCTCACCCACTGAGCCCCGCCGGCCGGCCACTCGGGGTTTCTTACACTAAAGTAGAGCGTAGAGGGAACGACTTTGGTCGGGTTGTGCAATAATAACGTGAAGGGTGTGTGATGAGTACGTGGTCGCCATGCTGTTTGCCCAAGGAAGAGTGAAGACGGGGGTAGGCAGCAGGCCGGTATGACTCCCAGGTGACAGGACATCGGAGCCAGAGTTCTCCCTGGCAATGCGGCCCGAGGCCACGCGCAGGCACAGTGAGCACCTGACTGGAGTCGCCTCCTGGCTCCAGTCCCCTGTCCCTGGTCACTCCTGTGCTTTGGAGAAAGTGGTCAGGTCGCTGGTTTCTGGAATGTCTTCCTTCTCATGCTGCTCCACTCTTCACGACGAGTGTGGCCTCTCATTCCCACGTGGTGGGAGGCACCTGTGGCCTCTCTCATTCCCATGTGGTGGGAGGCACCTGGAACCTCTCGGGTGATTCCCACGGAGAGGCAGTTGTGGCCTCTCTCATTCCCATGTGGTGGGAGGCACCTGGGACCTCTCATTCCCATGTGGTGGGAGGCACCTGGAACCTCTCGGGTGATTTCTTTGCCCACGGAGAGGTGAACAGTTGTGTCTGTGGTCACGTAAAGTATGAAACACGACAGCCAAAACGGTAAAGATAGTTACTTCACCAGCGACATGCCCTGCAACAGACCACTGCTGAGGAGGTGGGTAATGAAGATTCCTGTGCTGGGAATACTAGTTAAGAGGCCTGAACCCCATGGGACCAGCCAGCATCCTGCAGTTTGGCTCGTCTTTGCCGCTGAAATGTCTATCTGGGCCAGATGAGTGCATTTACTCCACTGGACCTCCACCTACTGTGTGCCCAGCCCTCTGGTCGCCCATCCTGCTGTGTGCCCAGCCACCGCCAGGTTCTGATTCTCTCTGCCCTCCGGGACTGCGCAGTGGCCTGGAGTCCAGGACTTCCAGGAGGTGTAGGAGGGACACAGAGACAGCGCACAAGCCTGCCGGAGCACGAGGCCACTGTTGGAACCACCAGCAGAAGGACCACCAGCCACGTATTTATCCAGATAAAAGCCCAACCAGCTCATTCAAGCCGACGTGTCCGGGGCTTGGACTGGACTTTGAGTGCCAGCAGCACCACGACTCGCCAGCCGTAGTCGCTGCCTCCATAAAACCGCTAACACAACTGCACAAGCTGCTGTCTCCCCAAGAGGATGAAGGATACAGACCAACCCGAGAGGCGGCAGTTTCGCTCCTGCGAGTGTTACCACGGCGTGAGCTCTGCAGCCAGGCTGGCCTGTCCTGCAGGCCTGGGCAGGAGTGAGGCCCGAGCAAGCCCCACTGCCGGTGACGGGGGCAGGGAGCCCACGCCGCTGTGATGACAGGGCTGTTTCTTCTCGGACAGCCTTTGCCTCCTTTGTCAACCCCGCCCGCCAGGTCTTTGACATCCTTCCTTTCTTCCCAATGGCATCGTCCTCAGATCTACTGATTCTATCGGGACAGGAACAATCACTGAGGGTAAAGACTTTAAACCCCTTCCCCGGCAGAAACGTGTATACTCGTTTTCACAAAATGTTCTTTTTCAGTCGTCGACGAGTATACTAAGAAAATATGGTAAAAAAATATGGTTTATAGGAAGACGAGTTACAAACTATTTTCATAACCAGCATCAAAAATACTATATAGAACCAAAATAAAAAAATTAGTCTGAAAAAGAAACGTTTTTAACAAAAAAATTGTTGGGGAAGGGGTTAAACATCCTTCCTAACAGGACAAGGTCTTTACTAAGTTGTGATGAGGAACTGGCCTGCACCTGAAGCCCAGCCGAGGGCACCCTCAGCAGAGCTTCTCACACTGGGAAGCGACTGCCTGTCCATTTCCCAGGTCCCGGGCAAGAGGCTCTCCCACGCCCAGGCTGGGCCTTGCAGAGCGAGGGAGGGACGGAAACCAAGGGACGGAATGTCTTGGTGAAGTGCCTCTGCACTAACCTGATTCCACGTGAACGGAAATGGCTTTGACTGCGCGGTCCGTTTGTGACCTAAACACACACACAGACATCCCAACCCAGTGGCAGATGGAGTGAAGCCCTGCCACCTGGCTTCTAGGTGACATGACTCAATTCCGTGTACAGTTAGATGCATGCAACTGTCCAAAATGCGACGATTTCCCATCTTAAAGGAAATGTGAAACTAAATGAAGTCTAATCTTCACTCCTCTGCGCTGGAAATCTACACCATTTCTACCTCAGTTCTTACAATACAGCATCAGAAATACAATCACGGGTACAGAGCAAAGGAGCTTATCAGCTAGCCAGGTAGTTATGTGGAGTATTTCATAGTTAATTATATTGAACGTGGGCACAGGTTTCACTTAAAACACATACCAACAAAGTACCATTTTAGGAAAATGAAATATGAAACCATGGAGACACAGGCATGCGCTCAGCAGCACACATCTCCAAGCAAGGCTCACAGGGCGCGCTCCGATCACAACCGCTGGGTGAGGTGTATTTTTATGGGCCGCTGCTAACACAATGACATGCTTTAAAAGGTTCCATTAAACAAGAACCAAAACCCTAAAAAGAAAAGTGTGATGTACTAAGTAAATCCTCTTGATCGATGCCAAATCAGGAAATCTTAAAGGGTATCTTTTTCTAAATTGCAGCAATGATGGCAATATTAGTCAGACAAGGAATGAAGGCCTAACGTTTCACTAGACATAAAAATAAGCAAGTCACTTACTGCAGAGAAACACACATTTAAATGCTATTCAAACTGTAAATGGTGTGGCCATCTGGAAAATGCTGGAAGGGAACAATCGTGTACCAGGAGCCAGCAGTTTACTTGGAGGCACCAGCTGGAGAGAAGGGGTGTGTCCACAGGACAACTTGCAGGAGAACAGGGGCAGAGGCGGCATTCACAGCCCAGGCGTCCCCCGCGAGAGCGGGTAAGCCAGGCAGCCGCAGTGAACCACTCGGCAGCAGTGAGGCAGGGACGGCCACCCCTGCACGCCACCTTGTCCCCCTCAGCGGCTGAGGGAGGGACTGATGCGGCGCAGGGTGCGTCCTCTGGGTGGGGCCTCAACTAGGAAAACCGACCTGGGGGACAAGTCAGGACAATGGCCCAGGGGGGCTGTGGGAGGGGGGCTGCTGGGGGAACACGCGGTGCCGGTGCCATTGCGCACAACAGGGGCGTGGCTAACAGCGCGTGCGTCTGCCAAGGGTCAGTGAAACGTTTACTGAAGATACGTGCCTTCACAGGGAGTGAATCGCGCCTCAGAAGGAAAGGGATCTGTAAGCAAATATTAACTCCGGCAGTGGTGCCTGCTGAGGTACTCAGAGGGAGTGCACTGACATCTGCCGTCTGCTTTGGATCACGTCACAATGGATGGACTGTGGACCGAGGCTCAGTATGTGGTCCCACCAGTCCAGCTGAGCGTGCGCGGGGACCTCGGAGCAGCTCTCGCCGCAGCTCGGCCACTTTCCCCGCCCAGCGCCATGGTTTAGGGAGCTGAGAGCGCTGCATACGGTTCTGGGCCATCGGTCCTGAGTGTCCTTCTGCACGGAAGGCTGGCTTCTAGGAACAGCCCCGTGCCTCCTCCCTGCCCTGCGCACCCCCACCCCCACCCCCCGACTCCCACTCACAGGAGAGCGAAAGGAGAGGAAAGCCATGTCCACACGGCCCGTCTTGCTACTCTTTCTCCCCTGAAGTGACTTAAGCAGGCCCCTCCTCCCTTCCCCATGCCACATACCCCCCACCAGCTGGCCTGCCCCTGAGACAGGTATGAGTCTTCTCTCGCAGATGCTCCGCCCCTTGCTCAGGGGCTGCTGCGTGCAGATTAGCCCAGCCGGCCTCCAAGGACCACTCCGGCCAAGCAGAGGTTTAAACTGGGAGGAGAATCTGAGGCTCCTGCCTTAGCGCGGCAAAAGGCACCTGGGCTCAGCCTGGCTTAGGGAGCACTGCTCCAGCCGGAAGTACCCCCACCAGCTCTGCTCCAGGGCCTGTGCCTCTGTGTGCGGGTGGGTGTCCACCGGGGGCACAGCAGGAGGAATGGCGGCGTGGAGGGTGACATGCGGACCACAGGCCCACCAGCAGTGCCGTAGAATCGGAACTTTAAATAGCCCTCCTTTTGTGCTTCCCCCACTTTCCCATGCACTCAGGGCACCCTTCCGAGGGGAAGCATGCAGATGTATGTGCTCCTGCTTCCCCATCACGCGGACTGGGCAGCACTGCTGGGCGTCTGGCCCAGGGACTGGTGAGCAGGAGCAGTCAGACAGGGCCTTGGGCTCTGCTATCTCCTCCCCAGAACCCCAGAGAGCGGCCCTGCGCTGGGGACTAAGGGCCTCACGGGCGGGTGTGGGGCTCACGTGCACCGTTCCCACAGGCCAGAAAGCGACCGGCCACCCGTGCTTGGCATGCAGGATGCCCGCAACGCAGCTGGTCAGCTGTGTGTTTTCCTAACGAGCAGCGGGTTGAGTGGCGACGTGTTTTTACACTACACGTGTTCCAGTTTCTGTTTCCAATACAGGAGGCTGCCTAAGACAGCGCTACAGGCAGACCGCCGGGACGCGCAGGTGGCTGCACGGCTGCCCCCTCACCCTTACCTCGTTGGAAGGCACTGTGGCGAAGGGCGTGATGACGGCGGCCAAGGGGATCTGGGCCTGCTTGGCCATGTCGGCCGTGCACGGGAAGCAGTAGGTCGTGCAGCGGATGTAGCGAGGACTGGCGTTGCCTGAAAGAGTGAGAGGCACACGGAAGGTCAGGTCAGCTCTGAAACCAGGCGTGAGCGCATGGAGGGGTTTCTGGGTAAGGCACGGCCTGTGTGCCAGATGTTCCTCAAGGTGTCTAAAACGGAGGACTGTGCAATTCTACCATCCAGCCTCCAGGGGCCCTGTGGCTGCTCGCACACCACCACCCTCAGCAGACAGGGTTCTCACTGCTGTTCCCACACCAGGGCAGACCCCAGGTGCTGAGAGCAAAGGCACAGAGCGCAGAGCAGCGCCTCCCGCCTTCCAGCCGCTCCCCCGCTGCGGGGCGCTGAGCATCTGGGCCACGTCGTGTCAGCAGGTGACACTTCCTCAATACGATTCCATTTGATTGTTTTAAACTGAAAATCAAATCTAGAAATGAAAATTCTACTGGTAATAGAAATGTGTTTTAAAGCACTTCAATCTATTTTTCATATACATTATGTTTCCTAACCAATTCTATTTATTTCATGGCATGACAAATACTTTGAATCTCTAGAATAACTTTCCTAAAATAAAATTTGAAATTAAATGATGATTAAGTCTGTAATAGACTGTGGTGAAGACAGCGCCCCCCTCAGACATGTGCTGCGTGGTGGCCCGAGGACACAGGCTATGTTCACCCCACAGAGGGGTCATGTGGCCTTGGAAGGCGGGAAGTGCTGTGGGGTGCCACCTGGCTAAGGACGGCGCCTGCCGTTTTAAACGGTCACCGAGGGGCCTCAGGGAAAAGTCCCAGCGAGCAAAGCCTCCGAGGAGGTGAGGGGTTCCCAGGCCGGCACCTGGGGCAGCTATCAGTTCTCATTTGTTACCGAGGGTGGGTGATGCTGAGGTGCAGAGGCGAGAGGAGCCTGGATTCATGTGCAGGTGTGCAAGTGTGCAGGTGTGCGATACGTGCAGGTGTGAGAGCTGTGAGAGGTGTGCGAGGCGTGCAGGTGTGAGAGGTGTGCAAGGTGTGAGAGGCATAAAGGTGTGTGAGGCGTGGGAGGCTCCCCACGAAGCCCCTCTGTCCCAGCTGCTGCCTGGACAGCGCTGAAGACAGCTCGGAGGATAGACCTGGAGGAGGGGAGACCCCCACCTGGACCCTGGCTGGCTCCACAACCCTGAGAGGACACAAAATGCTGTTCACACACGGACGCTATACTTCCGGGGCTGAGTAGGTGACCCATTCAAGCAGCATATTGTCATCGGAGTGTCCGACCCCATCAGGGTGCACTGTCACTGCCATAAACAACAGGACACTCTGTTCCTGGGAGGACCAACCCGCCCCAGGCTGCCGGGTGGACTGTGACAGCAGACATGGCAGGCAGTGACGGCTCGGCGCTCCTCGTCCTCGCTGACCAGAGGGAGCACAGCCCCAGAATCTTAAAGGAGCTGCTATAAAGGCGCGGCTGGCGGGAACGCGGCCCGCCGACATCTCCAGCGTCAATGCCCTACGCTCTGCCCACGCCGCCCTGCAGGTCCGTGCAGTGAGGAAGGTGACAGAGGAGGGCCCGAGCGAATACACCCGTCCGTGAGCGTACAGAGCCCTCCGAGACTGCGATGGTGCACTGCCCTCACCCGGAGCGAGACCTCGCTGACAGCCCCACCTCCGTACTAGGGTGACTGACACTGTGCTCCTGCTCTGTCTGTGTGACCTCCTTCTCACGGGGTACCCTGCGGTGAGCACAGCGTTGAAGGGGAAACTGAGGCTGGAGTGTAAGTACCAACGTGGGTCACACGTATAGAGTGACGTGGCCGGACCACAGAGCCCTCTCCCTTCTCAGGCTCTGCAAATGCAAACGGGTCTTCACAGAATCACCTATATAGACGTCCCATCAGTGAAGGCGGGACTGAAGGGATCAGTGCACGCGCTTAAAAATCATGCTGTGAGCCCAGCTGGCGTGGCTCAGTGGTTGAGCGTCGACTTATGAACCAGGAGGTCATGGTTCGATTCCCAGTTAGGGCACATGCCTGGGTTGCAGGATCAATCCCTAGTTTGGGCCGTGCAGGAGGCAGCCGATCCATGATTCTCTCTCATCATTGATGTTTCTCTCTCTCCCTTCCTCTCTGAAATAAATAAAAATATATTTAAAAAAAGAATAATACTGCTGTGAAAATTGTAAAACCTCAGTCAGAACTATGGTTGTGAGTACATACCTTGATCTTGCACCACGCAATCCGTGGTGACCAGGGGCGGGACCTGGCCTCTGGTGCTGGTGGCATACACCTGCCCTCCTCTGGTGGCCCGGTCGTTCTCAATCACCTGGATCTGATCAAGAAGACGGCAAGAGCAAGTCAGTCATGTCGTCTCCACATGCTCGCCCCTCACTGCTCCACAAAGGCGGGCTCAAAATTCTCCTTAGCGACCACCACGCTGTACGCCCCGCCCATGCTGACTCTCATAGTGTGAGACCAGCAGCTTCCAAACTCTATCCTCAATGCTCTGAGCTCTGACCCAACCGTCCAGAGAACTTTATTTTTATTCAATTTGTTCACTGGGATATAGATAAACATTTTTTAAAAATCTGGTAGAAAAATAAATTGAAAATAACTTTTTAAAGAAAATAATTTTTGCAATTAAAGAAAAGTCCAGGCCGAAACCGGTTTGGCTCAGTGGATAGAGCGTCGGCCTGCGGACTGAAAGGTCCCAGCTTCGATTCCGGTCAAGGGCATGTACCTGGGTTGCGGGCACATCCCCAGTAGGAGATGTGCAGGAGGCAGCTGATCGATGTCTCTCTCTCATCGATGTTTCTAACTCTCTATCTCTCTCCCTTCCTCTCTGTATAAAATCAATAAAATATATTAAAAAAAAAAGAAAGAAAAGTCCAGAAGGCTAAAAATGAGTGTAGACGAAAGGATTTACAACATACAAAGCAAACAAGCCCTAAGTTCCTCCTCAAATCCCCCTTGGCCTCCAGCACCCTCTGGCCCCCTCACCCCCTGCTCCCTGAGATGTGAGACAAACAGTGTCCTGAGTGGGGTTCCCACAGGGCACAAGTCAGAAGGGAACACAAGTCCCTAAATTGTGTCGCTTCATTTGGAAACATGAGAAATTCCTCTAAGCAAACATTTCATGATGAAAACCTGAGGGACAAACATCGTCTTCCTGTTGTGTTTGCTTTGGGCTGACAACAATGAGCAGGGGCTGCTGTGTGGACCAGACAAACAAGAGGGAACCCCAAGAATCCTTTTCCTCTCTGCTCCCTGCTGCCTCCTTTCTTCATGGAATACCCGAGACCGGGGTCAGACAAAGAGGGAAAGAAAGGGGGAAACTGGAGAAGCGAGGCAAGTGTCAAACTGAAGGGCATGGCTTTGGAAGATACATCGTTGTTTATGTTCCCAAAGAAATTACTCACAATAATAAACTGTCTTCCCTCAAACTCTGAAATGGTGCCCGGTCCACCCACCCCGCTTTCCCCTCCAGGCTGGCTGGCGCTGACCCAGGGGTCTGAAGGCACACCAGACACCAGACACCAGACACCGGCTCCGCCTGCCTGTAAGTCTACACTTCCTGTCTCTCCCCGTCAAGTCACAGGACTGGGATTCTAATTAAATTAAAGATATAGAAAATGCTCCAAACAGAATTACTGTGGAACACAGATGAGACTCAAGCCAGCATGGGCAGACACAGGAAGCAAACAGGGTAATCAACACACTAATCACATTCCGTATTCCAGCCACAGTTCCTATAGCTCCACAATAATCTGCTTCATTCAAAACTGGAATAGATTTTACATTATCAACATTTACTGTAATGGTCTCACCAAGGAAGTGTCAAGTATGACAGTGAAGTAGAAATCGTTTCTACATATTGAACATACTAGTAGATGGTTCTTAGTCTCCACATAGAATCTTTCCAAAAAGTTTGTTTTTAAATTAAGCCATTTGCAATTTCCAAGCACTGGCTCCAAAGAAGGGGTACCATGCATGGTAATGACATTTCTAAATTCATCTGCATACTGGCTGGGACGCGACGAAGAGAGTAAGAAACACTATACCAGTTCCAGTCATTTTAAAACATATATGATCGCTTTTTAAACTGACCTCACGTGTATGTGCTCAGAAAACAGGCCTGGAGATGAGACTTGTTACCAGAAACGTCAACAGAGGTTCTGGTGTGCCTGGCTTCCCGGCTTCAATTCGGGGGCAGGGACTCCCAACAAAGCCAAACCCCCTCAGAGGTGCCGCTTCGGGAACCGCTCCCACACTATCCGCCTGACCCGTGCTCAGGGTCATGACACAGAACCAGGAGAGAGGGGGGTTCTCTGGGATAAGTGAACAGCATCGGGGAGCTCGGAGGTGTCTCGGGCTGCCAAGGGCAGGGATGCGACCTGGGGGCAGGGGCAGAAAGAGCCCCCTGCAGACACAGAGGGAGCGGGGAGTCCTGAGGAGGCGACCAGGCCTGCTTCGGGCTGGGCACAGGCACTGTTGGGGCTGTGGGCGGGGGCACTAGCTCAGACGGCTGTGCAGCAGGCAGTCAGTGGATGGAGTTAGTGGCAAAAGCATGCTTCTGTGGTGATAGGAGCATAAACACCTGGCATTGCTGTTTTATTGCTTTTTTATATAAATATATTTTTATTGATTTCAGAGAGGAAGGGAGAGGGAGAGAGAGATAGAAACATCAATGACAAGAGAGAATCATTCATCAGCTGCCTCTTGCATGCCCCCCACTGGGGATTGAGCCCACAACCTGGGCATATGCCCTTGACTAGAATCGAACCCGGGACCCTTCAATCCGCAGGCCGACATTCTGTCCACTAAGCCAAACTGGCCAGGGCTGTTTTATTGCTTTTAGGGCACAAATACCACTGGACTGATTTTCCTGTTCGTACTTTAATGTCAGGATGAATCACAGCACATACTGCTCTTGCTTTTGTTGCCAATGTTCACTCATTCATTCCACCAGCAGGGGAATGTCCACCTACAGCCCCGGCCCACAGGAGGCTCTGCCTGTGAGCCAGGTGGGACGGAGAGGCGGGACATCAGGGACTAGGACAGGACCAGGATCAAGAGAGGCAGCTGAAGGGCTAAACGTGAGGCATGTGAGAAAGGGAATCAAGTGTTGTGGCCGCGGCGCTAGAAGAGGGGCTGGAATCTGGGTTCAGGGAAAGGTCTTGGCCAGGACTATCCGCACCCTCATTTCAGCCGAGAGAGGAACCGCTGAGGGGCTGCTTCCCAACCGCCAGAGAATACGGGGAGCCGGCGAGCACAGACCCCGCCCCGGGTCTGGCTTCAGGGGGCCTGGGTGCAGCTGAGCATGATCGCTAGCAGCTCCCAGCCGACGCTGAGGGCCGTCCTGGGGCACACGTGGGACTGGAAGCTCTACGAGCTGCTGTACCCTTCACAGTTCTCTTGCTTTTCTCCCTTTGCGGTAAAATAACACCCCACAATGGGGTGACCCCTCACCCTGAATTCTGGAACTAGGGCAGGGGCCAAACTGCAGCTGCTGCAGCCTGCAGGCCATTTAGGTGACAGCAATTCCCTGCAGTTGTGAGCAGAGCTGGGGCGGGGGGTGGGGGGGTATTTGTTACACAGAGTAACTTAATGAAAGCTGACTGATACAATCCTCCTCTGGATGGAAAAGAATTGTTATAGCTTTAAGTCTATATTCAATCATTTTAAAAATTAATCTTTGTTGTTGAAAGTATTACATATGTCCCCCTTTTCCTTCCTCATTGGCCCCCTCCATCCCACAACTGCACTCCCTCCACCCAGGCCTTCACCACACTATTGTCTGTGTCCATGGGTTATGCATATATGTATATAAGTTCTTTGGTTCAAAAATAATTTTTTTAAAAATATGCAAACTACAATATGCTTTCACTCTCCATGGGGATCTTTCTCTTATTAAAAGGGGCCCCTTAGTTATTTAAGTAGCATGTTTATACAGGATACACTCTTACTACTAATGGCTCATTGACCATAATAAATGCTGCCAATATGATAAAAACATCAGTAGATCCTGCAAATTCATAGAATATCAAAGAAGAACCTACACGGGCTGCTTCTCTCACGGACGGCCTAGTGCGCATGACCCCTCTGTCCCCCACACAGGAAGGGAGCCTTCCCTGCGTGGTCACGCTGTCCCCCCATGCCCCGCAGGGACGGGAGATGCCCACACACTGGAGAGGGTCTGGAACGATGAGCACAGAGTGGCCCTTCGTGAGGGAGACTGAGGATCGAGAGGGCACTTACTGGGCTGGGCACGGCGTCAGGATCCAACTTCCTCTGGGGCGGGGGCGGGCCCGCCATCTGCGCAGGCCCTCCGGGGAACCCTCCGGGGTATGCCAGCTGCGCGCCTGGCATCTGGGGGCCATAGTTGCCTGTTTGGAAAAATTTTACAAAGAAATGGCTAGAACCCAAATCCAGAGGTGGGGCCCACGGGCAAAGTCCTGCTGGCAGGTCAGGCGTGCTGCACACCTCGCCTCCGCACAGGCAGGGAGCACGGGACCACCCCAGAGCCCCTGATTTTCAGTGGCTACACTGTTCCAAAAGCTCCCTCCTGTCAAACTGGTGCTGGGGGCCCAGGAACAGGAACAAAGCTGGTTTCCCAGGAAGGGTGGCCCCCATCACCCAGGCCCTGCCTGGGCCCTGCCCGCCTTACCCTGCTGCGGGGGGTATCCACTGCCCAGGGTCTGTCCTGGAAGAGGCGGGGGCTGCAGCTGGGCATTCGGAGGCGCTGGGCCGGGCGGAGGCATGGGCGGTGCACCCAGGCCGTTCAGTGTGGTGGGCGGTGGGGGGAGAACCTGAGACCCAGGCTGCAAAATGGACGGCTGCAGAGGTGGCGGAGGACCCTGGCCCGAGGGTGCGGACTGGGAGCCCGGGGGCCCCTGGCCGGGGGGAGCCATGCCGGAACCTGCGGGAAGAAGACCAGTCACCCAACACGGCATTTCCATCTGACCCGCCACTGACACGCAGACACTTTCCTGACGTGAAGCCAGGAAGCACCCCTACAAATCCACTTCCTTCGTGGCCACAAGAGGAGCCCTTCATTCAGAAAGCGACACCAATGTCACTGGGGCATCTCACACTGGGACATTGTGAAAGGGGAAGTCAGCACCAATCATTTCAGTGAGGAAATTAGTAGACTAAGTTTCAGCTCAGCTGCAGTAATTTTGTACGATACACGCCATTAATTAAGGAATAGCATCTGGTGCGAAACCGAGACAGTCACACAGGAGACGTGCGGATGCACAGTTGTTACGTGACAGGTGTTATTGAGGCCGCCCACACGGCCAGTGACTTGCACCCTGTGCTTGTCCTGACCAGTGGATGCAGAACCAGGTAGGAAAGAGCAGGGAGGACGATGGGCCACTCACACACCTCCCTTCATATTGGAAATGGCTGTCCAGCCAGATTAGCTTCCCTTTCCTGGAGTGTGTGCACTGAGTTGCTTCCCTGGAGATGTACCCATTTTGCAATCAGTGAGAGATTAGAAATATTCTGAGGTTTTTCCACGATAATTCTGACACACTAACTCTAAGCAATGGAAACGTTCTTCGCGGAGATAAGGGGCTGGCTGTGCTGTTATCACGGCAGACAGGCCCTCCGCCCTGAGCACCGGCACCCGCGGGCGAGTCTCCGCACCGGCCTGCTGTCTCTCTCTGCTGCTCTGCTGCCCGTGGCGCCTGGGCCCTTTCCCGGGACCCAGTGCAAACCCCAGGGCTCGTGGAACCTCTCTCCTGTGAGGCCCATACACACGCGAGGCTGAACTGCCCTCATGCTTCCTAAAGCAATTCCACCGTCCTAAGGCTTATCTGTGACACCAGTATGTTTTGTTTTCTGTTGTGTATTGAACGTAAGGTAATCGGATGGTCCTTCAATTACCTTAAAATAAATGGCAGCATGGACAGGGGGAAATTAATGACAGCCATTCACAGTACAGATGAGTAACATAAAAATGTCGAAATGCGAGTTGGGCTGCGCCCGGGCTGCGTGCATTTTGAAAAGAGAGAACCCTTTCTCATTCACGTGCTCCTGACGCCGGCGGACGCGGAGCGGCCGGGGCACGGTTACCGTAGCTGATGTGCATGGTGTCGAGCTGGCGGCCCAGCTGGGAGACGGATGCTGGGGGCAGCGGACTCGGATACGATGACTGTGTCGCGGGTGGATAAGGGGCATAGGAGGGTGGCGCACCACTGGCAGGTGGAGGGCCTGGGAATCTAGGAGAGAAAGAGGATGTTGAATTAGACCATAGAGCTTCACAGGCACGTGACATGCAACAAACACCAATAACTAAAATGAAATGCGCCTCCATGCAGCAGCGCCCTGGTAACCCTGGGGCTGAGCCTGCACATGGGGCTTCCCTGACCTTTGCAGGTCTCACCCCGTCCGACCTCCATCCACAGTTCACGTGGAAGCCGGTGAATGTGGGGGATAGGGGCAAGGTGGGCGGGCACTTGGCTGGGGACCACAGGCGGGTTCCTAGATGCAGCTGTCACCAGTGGCCGGGGCCACAGAACGGGAAGCCACAGAGGCAGCGGTCTCCACCCGTGGATGTGGCACTGACAGTGGCTCCCACGCGTGGAGCTGGGCAGTGCACGGCGCCCTCCCACGGTTCAGCCACCCCTCCTGCCACCTGGCGAACAGGGGGATGAGGATTCAGAGGCTCAGGGAGTGTCTGGTCCGGCCAGTCATGCCTGCGCCGGGAGGATGAGCTCACCCGACCCTGGAGCCAGACCCCGCTGAGCTCCACCCACGCTCACTGCCCCCAAGGAGCCTAATGAGGAGAAACAGGGACAGAGCCAAAAGCTGACACCAGGGACCCGCACCTTCTCTTCGCTTCAAAGCAGCTGTTCAGTTCTGACGTTTCTGCTGTACAAAACCTCTGCGATGCTTGCAGGTCACAGCCATGGGCTGCCCCAGGCTTTCTCCCTCCCTCCCCCGCCCTTCCCCCACCCTCTGTGGATGGAGACTTCCATTTCCTCAGTTACCAGCAGGAGACAGAGCCAGCGGCTTCGGACCCTTCCCCAAACCAGTCCATGCAGATGGCTTAGCCTCACCCTGCGCCCTGTTTACCCGCACCTGCCGCTCAGCCACCCTTCACTGCAAAGGCTGTCAGGACAGACGAGAGGCAGGTAGAAGGGTTAACCCGATGGGAAACTCCAGGGGCACCCCATCTGCAGGGACCAGGGGTCCTTTGACCTGGTGACGAAACGGCTTCGCTATCTACGGGGCCCAGATTCACACTGGGGTCCCCGACCTTGCAGCCTGACCACCGGGAAGAAAGCTGGTTGGTCCTTGGAGAAATTCCCACGCAGTGTCTACGGGGCACAGCTTCCCACACATCTCAGTGGACACACAAGCACGGTCTCCAGCGGAAGGGGCCACAGGCTCCCTCCCTGGGACAGTCCCGGAGGCTGCAGGCTGGGAGCGCCCCACTCCCGGCTGCCCTTCCTTCGTATGACACACACACACACACACACACACACACACACACACACGGCCTGGCTTCCCTCTGCGCCTGCCCGCAGGGCCCCTCGCTGGACGGCAGACCCACCACACTCTCCCCTGGTCCGCATCTGATGTGATTTTTAAATATTCATCAAGCACCTACAGGCACTGCGCTCAGTTCCGTGGAGGAGCTGAGAGACGAGGGGTTTAAAATTGTATTGGGGATACTGGCCATTGACATCTGAGGAATGAAAGGTTAATACAAAACCCTAAAATAAGATGCCTATAACCAAACAGTGAAATGTCTGGTACTTACACAGTGACTGTTATATATTCCTAATAGGCACTGATGCTGTAGGCCATGATGGCGAACCTATGACACGCGTGTCAGAGGTGACACATGAACTCATTTTTTTTGGTTGATTTTTCTTTGTTAAATGGCATTTAAATATATAAAATAAATATCAAAAATATGTCTTTGTTTTACGATGCTTGCGACTTTTCCTTCCTAGAGATGACATCTAGGCCTCAGTGGTACTTCAGGTCCAAACCCAGAAAAGCTGCAAAACCAGACGAAAACCAGCCAGTCTGACCTCAGGACCAGCTGCACTGGATAATGACCCTGCCCTGGTGCGGCCAATCAGCGGAGACCACGCCCTAAAAGCTGCTGAATATTCTATTGGGCTTTCCCCTGGGACCTCCCCTAATATCTCCGTTGCCTTTCCCTTCCCTCCCCTCCCAACACCCAGGCAACTGCCATTAGCTATGGCTCCCAAGCTCCAGGGGCTCTTCCTTGGCCTCCACACTGGCGACCTCGGCCCGTTCCTTCTTGGAACGGCTTCTCCTCCCTCTGGACTCACCCAGCACGTGTCTCTCACAGTCTGGGTCTCGCTGAGTTCTTCCCCAGCAGAACCCAGGCGCCGAGGCTGCAGCACCAGGTGTGGCCTGGCCCCAAGGTCATGGCCCCACAGGTCGGCCACTTGGCGTGGTCCCACCCCCCCACCCCAGGCGCTGAGTTTTCCCTCCTGACTCTCCAGGGCTTTGTATCCTGGGGCACTCGGCCCATAGATGCTTTCAGGGAGTAAGGCTAGACCAGGGGCCCAGCTTTCAGTGGCTAAACACGCGGGTTTGGGGGGAACGGAGACAGGGTTCGCGGGCTAGAAAAAAGAGGGCTGGGCTCTGTCCCACTCACCTCTGGGGAGGATGACCCTGGGCATGAGCTCCATTCTGGCCAAACTGATGTGGTCCAGGGGGCGGGGGGCCCGGAGGTAGCACCCCCCCGGGCGCGGCCCCCATGGGCCCTGCTGGCTTCATGGCACCTGCAAGGGAAGGGCGTGGATCAGAGGAGCCGGACGCAAAGCCCTCAGGTGGGAGGGAGGACCGCGTTAGGACCGGTTGTCTGGGAACGTCCAGGCCTATCAGTGTCACCTGACCGTGGCCATGACCGAGAGCAGAAAAGGAGCGTGTTCACACTGAACAGGGCCTGCGCAGGGCAGCCTCCGCGTCTGGCAGCGGCGCCTGCACCGAACACGCTGCCTTTCACACAAGCTCCGGCACCTGGACGGTGCTGACTGGACACCAGAAAGTCAGTCTGGAAAACACGGTACAAGGCATGGCACCCCGACTCCCACCGTGGACAGAGCCCCGAGAAGGCCAGCGAGTGCGCTGCAGCAGGAGACAGGCGGGCAGGGGTGCGGCCTGCGGCTCAGGCGCGGCTCAGGACCCCAGACCTGGTGGCCACAGCCCAGGGCCCGGCTGCTCAGGGCCTCAGTCATCACAGGCGATGCCAGGTGCGCGCTCATTTACAGGCTCGTTCTCCAGGGCGGTCTTAACGGTTCTCTTAGGCCTGTTCTCACTTTCCTCTCTTCCTCTATGGAAACGGTGCCCCAGAGAGAAAGCGGGGCTGGCCAGCAGATGGTGGACTGGGCAAGAACTTGTCTTCGAGGACTCAGTTTGCCCTCTTCCACAACCGAAAGAGAAGGTGCATCCCACTCCGCCTGCCTGTTTTGGCCGCAGGCGCTCCCTCCTGTGAGTCCACCCGCCCTCCGCCCAGCACGGCCATCAGCGGCCTTCTAGCCGCCTCGCCTGCATTTGCCCTCATGAGGGTGTTGCACTCTCAGCTTCTCCTTCCTTCTGTGTCCCTCTAGAGCAGTGGTTCTCAACCTGTGGGTCGCGACCCCTTTGATGGTTGAACGACCCTTTCTCAGGGGTCGCCTAAGACCATCCTGCAGATCAGATATTTACATGACGATTCATCACAGTAGCAACATGACAGTGATGAAGCAGCCACGAAAATAATGTTATGGTTGGGTCACAACATGAGGAACTGTATTGAAAGGGCCAGAAGGTTGAGAACCGCTGCTCTAGGAAGTTCAGTCCCCAGATCTGCAGTGGCGCAGGAAGTCTCTGACCCTGCATCATAGCACACTCCCGCATGCATCCGATGCCAGGTGACCTGGGATGAAACCGCAGGGGAGGGGCAGTGTTCCTGAACAACACCCACACGTTTACAAGTTCCTCTGCTAAAACGGGATTCCGCAAACTGAAGAAACATTTCATATTAACTTCACAGTCAGTTTTATTTAGCAATTTTTCATAGACCGAGAATAAAACCAAGTACATGATTCTTATAACAACATACATTTTCTGTGAAGTTCTAAACCCCAAACCCAGCTCATGAAAACGACATGAGGCTTGCAGGCACGGAGGTCTGAGTTCCCCAGCACCAAACAACGGTGGCCCTGAGCAGACACCGTACCCTTCAAAGCCTGGCCCTACCGCCAGGGCGACACTGCCCCGTCTGAGTGCAGTTCTGAGGGCAGTTCTGAGGGTGCCTGGAACAAGGCCTGGTACAAGGTAACCCCCAGCAAATCCCAGGCCCTCCCCCTGGCCACGCCCTGCCCTCCTTTTTTCAAGAATTTATATCCTAACAACACATATGCACACTTGCATTTTCATTTTAAAACATTATTTTGGACAAAAGCAGAAAACTTATGACACTAAAATAGTAACTAATTACATGCACTACAAGAAACCATACATAGTCTCATGTCATAAATAAGGAAGGAAGTAGCAATTTCATCAACACCCCTCACATGTGTCCAGAGAATCAGAACCAGTTCTCAGAGTTACTCATGTTGGGGTGCTCCTGTGTGTATGTGCTATGCACGTTAATAAACTTGTTTCTAAAATGAAACCATAACAAAAACCAAAACAAGGCGCCCAGCCTCGCCACCTACTGGACTCAGCAGGCCTGAGCCCACAGGCACCCCGCGCCGAATCTGCTAGCCCCAAGGACAAAATATTCTGTATATGTAAAGAAGAATATTTCCTAGACAAGATTTTAAGAGCAACTTGCTCTAGTAAAACTCCACAGTAAATTTGCATATATGTAAATGACGCTAGACAGAAAAGATGATATTCAAAAGTAAATTCAAGCTGAAAAAGGAGTAACTTAAAATTTTCTTCCACTTATATGTTCTGAAAATGAGACTGCTTTTATGGAATAAGCTGGAAATTTTTATTCAAATGCTGAAACTAGCCACCATCAGTGTAACAGGAGTTGCTTTTACCCAAGGCCTGTGTTACAAGGTTGTCAGGCATCTCTCTTTCTCTCTCTCCCAATTTTTTCTTGGGAGGCAACCAAAATCTTTGGCGGCCTTGTTGCAACAAGGCTTTTAGAACTTGGTTCAAAGGAAGGAATGAAGGCTGTTTAGGAGAGTATTAGTGTTCTTAGAAGAACCTGGGAAGCTATATCCAAAAGTAGTTTCATCAGTTTCAAATGCATGTGATCAAAGACTTGCTCACCATTGATGTTTCTTATTTCTCCTCTTTTATCTCTGGATTCTAGTATATATTTTTTCCTGTTTTTTTTAACAAGAGTATTCCTTATAATATACTTATCTGCATAGTTCATGGACAGGGCCAGTAGGTGAGTGAAGACCTAAAGGGAGGGACTGCGGAGGGCCTGGCAAGAGGTGATGTGATACTATCAACAATAAAAAGAAAACAAAAAATAGCTCTCTCCCCTTAAGCAGACCTGTGCTGCACCCCAATCGTACTAAGACGTTCCTTCCCCTTTATTTTGGAACTCGCCCCCACAGCAAGGGCTCCCACAGGCCCCTGGTCGGCGCACTCCGTGCGGCAGGACTGAGCTAGAAGAGACCCCACTAGCACAGGGCGGCTGTGGGCGTGGTCTCCTACACAGACGGGAAGTTCAGAGAAAGGACCCAGGGAACTCGATGGATGAAGACAAAGAGGGGATCCCAGGCAGAACTGAGCAGGGCAGAGGCGGGAGAGCAGGGACACGGGACAGCAGGGGCTCCCGGTGCAGGTGGGAAGAGCTGAGCAGAGCTTGTCCTGTTGGCTGGGTCAGACTGCAAAGTCCTGCCGGCCACCTGGACTTTATCCTCGGGCAAAGGGAGGGAGGACCCGTGTTATCTACAAAGACCCAGTCTCCCTGGCCAGCTGCTCGCACTGAAAAGCGATCGAGATGAAGAGAAATCGGGTTCTTCATGAAGCAGAGTGAGAATTTTAAAAGGAACGAAAACCAGACCATGGGAAAGAACTACAGATGCTGGTGCCAAAAGCAAATATCAAAACCACACCGCCTTCCACTCACAGGCAGGTATGGCAGCCTGGGCGCTCACTGCCGACTCCACTTCCTCCCTGGCTGGCCTCTCGGATGGTCCTGAGCAGGACAGTCTCCATCTCCTAGACTCCTGCCAAACTGCTGCCATGGGTCCCAAACTCAGCCAAGCCACACAGCAAGGGGCCCTGGCCAGGCCGGGGTGTGGTTCTGGGAGAGGCATGGCTGCTGATGGACTAGCCCGGTGGGGGTGCCTCGCCTGGCTCTTTGGCTCCCTCTAATATCCTCTAAGCGCCCTAATGCCTGTTAAATCCTTTCTGTGAGAGTGGTTTGTTATCAGCAAAGAAACCAACCAAAATATCACAGAAACGCATGCCTTGGATTTGGCGCTGGATCTGACAAACTAAAGCCAAAGTCAAAAACCACAGGTGGGAAAACGTGTCTCTGGAGTAAACAGAGATAAGCTCCCCGATACAGTCCGGTTCAGACGCGGAATGACCGCAGCTCCCAGGCCCTGTCCGGTGGTGTCCCCACAGGAACCCCAGCCTGACCCCAGGACACCCACAGTTCTGCCTCTCAGCTTCCAGACCAGCGTCCCGGCCAGGGTGGGATGCTCGGCGAGCCTAGGGTGGCTGGTTGCCACAGCTGGGGGGTGAGTGGCGGGCAAGCACCAGTGTCAGATGGGCAGGCGTCAGGGATGCTGCTGAACGTCCTACACAGCGCGCACAGCGCCCACAGCGCGCACAGCACCCACAGCGCGCACAGCGCGCACAGCGCCCA